TCAATGTCCAGACACTGTGTGTGTGTGACAGACACAGGATGGTATTACATGTCCTGATGTCGTGTGTGTCCATGTGGGGGGCTGTTAATGTGTTAATTTGTATGTGTGAGTGTGTGCGTGCACACGTGTGCCTCTGTGTGTGTGTGTACAGACCTCCTGTGCAGGAGTCAGTCGTTCCAGTCTGTTGTCTTTAGTTTATCTCCATGGGAGACAAACACTCAGGATTAACCAGACAAGTTAACACACACACACACACAAACACACACAAGGACAGACACACGTACACACAAAGAATCCTAGGTATATGTGTTGATGCTTGAAGAGACATAAATAAACTGTAATAAACGTCTGTCAGAGTGACCTTCAGCAGACCTTCATTCATTTCAGATGCTTTATTTATCTATTGACATGTAGCTGAATCATGGACAGAACTCCTTCATGATTGGTTAATGTCTGTGTGTGTATGAGCAGACGTCCAGGAGAGAGCAGGCTGCCGTCAGTCGAGGCTGCAGCCGCTGTTGTCCAACAAATCCTCCCGTCCGTCCCCCTGTCATTAGGATCACAGCAGGAGAGAGAAAAAGAGGGGTGTTAACATCTGCCCCACTGAGGCAGGGGCTGAGTTAGAGGGTGTGTGCTGGACCACCAGGTAGTCCACCTGTACACCATTACTGCTCCTTACTGCCCCACTCAGGGGTAATTATCTATCACACACACACACACACACACACAGGCTGTAAATTTATATCATGAATAAAAAAACATCTCAATAAACTTTTCTAAAATATGTTTATTTGATTTTTAATTTTGTTATTTCCAGATACAAGAGGATAAAGTTTAATTAAAATATCTCAGAAGGGAAAGAAATAAAAACAAATTAATATACATTTATATCGAATATAACTTAAACCATTGTTTCCCAAAGACTGGGTTGGGACCCTCAGGTGGGTCGCAAGAGTTTTGTTTTTTTTTGGGTTGTCTCACATCATATTTCTCAGGAGTTTATGAATAATGTCTATTGACTTGGGTCACAAAGGTTTGTGATTCTTAAAATACGGGTCCCCAGAAAAAAAGTGTGGGAAAATCTGACTTCATCACAGATGAAGGAGGCTTAGCTTGAAATTATTAGGTATAAAAAGATGTGACAGGGACAGTACGTTTGGAAATAAGAGGGTAAGTCAGAAATGTATTAGACAAATGTTAAAAAAACATTATAAAATAATTGTATAAAAATGTGTTTGTTTTTCTCTCATTTGAAAACTGGTCAGATCTGTTGGAGACACAGAGACCAGTCTGAACTGGTTGGAGTCATTAACATCAGACACCTGCAGGAGTGATGGACCTCTGTCTGAGGACTTTCTGACTGGGCCTCATGTATAAGTGTACAGATATGTTGTGTCAAACTAGGTAATCATGACTGTATGACTGTAATGCCTGCTCCTGTCTCTGACAAGACACCTGTGGATCAGGATCAGTCCAGACTCTGAGTGACAGCAGATGCTGTTGAAGCTGAGGCCACAGAGGGTGACAGTAATCCACCCACCTCCGACCTGCTGCCTGCAGGTCACTGCGGCTGCAGGTCCAGCCTCCGTTTAATTGGTTGATGGGGTTGTGATCGGCAGGCGACAAATGAGAGCTCAGCATGGCACCTGAAAAGAGGAGACATCAAAGAGAGGCTGGAACAACCTGCTGAAACACACACACACACACACACACAGAGGGTTAATCTGTGATTTGACAGCAGGTTCGTTAAACTTCAGCAACAATTAAAAAGTCATTCACAAAGTGACAAGATAGAGGAGAGGAGGAGCAGTCAGAAGTCAGAAGTGACAGTTTTTCAAAATAAAATACCATGTAGACAAACGAAATTTAAAAAAGTAATCATAAATAAAAATTTCAATTGTTTTTGTGGACCTGGTACCATGGGAACCATGTCCCAGTACTGGTCCGCGGCCTGGTGTTTAGACCCCCCTGCTTTGCACTAACAACAACGACAATTATATTAATAATTATATTAGTAATAATAATAATAATTAATAATAGTAATAATAAAAATACTTATTTGTTTCAGCTTCTCTTATCGTCAACCTTTTACATAAACGCTTAATTGACTGGACAGTCTACGTCACAGAAACGAGCCAGCAGTTGATTGGGCAGCTTAATCTGTCACCGCATACACACACACACTTACGCGTGTATGAGCTGGAGTTTTTTCTTCTCCCCAGTCTCCACCTGGGTCCTCTAAGCTCTCACATCTTCTCCCAGGATTTATTTCTGGTTTCAGTTCCAGTTGTCCTTGTTTTTCCGTTTAAACTTAATCTTTTTAATCATTTCACGGCTCGTGGCTCTTGGCTCGTGGAGACTCCGCGGCGCGCTTTACGCACAACCTGACGCATCACGTGCCGCGCACAGACGTGGATTTCCTGAGGATTTGACTGCAGTGAGTTTACACCTGTTACACCTCACACAGACCACTGATTCCGTGCGTCGAGCTGTTTAAAATTTCTGTTTAAATTATTTTTTTTCTCCGGTTAGTTTATGAAGTGATTATGAAACAGAAGAGGAACCAGAAAAATCATTTATTTAAACGTTTTATTGCTAATTAAAATATTAATTAAGGGATGGTTTGTGGGACTCTTCTTCAGGTGAACATTGTGCTAACAGCAGTGACACTCAGTGCGTCTACCCGGTCCATGTGGGCCACTCATTTGGGTTAAGAGCCACTCGTAACCAAATGTGGTTTCTACATTGGATGACCATGGTCATCTAGATGTCACACATCAAGCATCAAACACACAGGGAGTCCATCCAAGAATATAATAGTAGACTTTTCACTGTCTCAAAATAAAAAAAAAATAAAATAAAAAAGAGTTTTTTGTTTGTTTGCATTTGAAATGAGTGATGTCTTGGTCATCACCATATCAACAGCTGGCACTGCCAGAGGTAAACACACACACACACACACACACACACTCCTTTCTCCCCATTCACTCACCAATTCTCTGCAGGAATCCTCCTCCTCTCCCTCCTCCTCCTCCTCTTCCTCCTCTACCATCACCTTCCTGGTGATAATCTTTTTCACGTCATCACCTCCTGCTCCAAGACTTGCACCTGACGCTGTTGACGTTGCCTAGGAAACCCTGGCCTCAATGTGGGCCTCTGACCCCTCCGTCCTGAGTGACCTCGGAGAGAGGACTGTTCTGCCGACTACGTGGGGTGAGTCGGGTGACCGCAGAACCTGCTACAGTTAACAGAACATAATGACACAGTGTCTGCAGCTGGACTGTTGTTGTGATATTGGAGCATTTAGTCCTGTCCATTTAGTATTTGTATGTTGTATGTTGAAACAAATAAAAATAAATGTTTGAAATAATGTAAATCCTTTAAAATATGTTGTAACACAGTGGGCTGTATATGTACTAATATTATGAGTGAAAACATTGATGATGATGATGATGATGATGATGATGATTGTTGTTGTTGTTGCTAATAGTAGTACTAGTAGTAGTAGTAGTAGTACTTTTACTTATTAAATCTCCTATTTGTTCGTGTATCAGAGGCTCAGTGTCTCCTCAATGGACCGCCTCCTGCTGGTCACACATGGACGGAACAGTTCTCTCCTCACGTACAGAGAAACAGACAGGTACAAATCTCTTTGTGTTTCTGTGAATCAACAAAAATTTGAATCTTAATTTTAAGATAGATTTTTTTAATCTAGACAAGCAGAAATTGAAACATTTATTTTGATTTTGTTTAAGTATTATGAAACCACTTTAAGAAAACCTCAGGTTTAGAGTGGGTGAATGAAAACATTCACTGTAGAAAATAAGCAGAGCAGATATTGTGACCAGAGTCCTGTTCTTCTGCACCTTCTTCAGTGAATAACTCTGACACGTCTGTGTTTTTACAGCTTCACGACACTCTGCTGCAGAGAGAGGAGGAGCTGGCTCGACTGCAGGAGGAGAACACCAAGCTGAGGGAGTTCCTCGGCTCCTCATATGTCAGGGACCTGGAGGAAAAGGCTAAAGTGAGTTCCCTATCAACAGAGTTCACCTGCAGTTTAAAAAGGATTTCTCACATTGGTGGTGTCTTTGTTTCTTCGCCCCCTCCTAAACAGAAGCTCTCCATTCAGAGCAGGATGAAGATGAAGATGAAGAGACACCTGACACATGACGATGAAAGAACGCCACAGACCTCTGCTCATTGTCTCATGGTTTCAAAGCCAGTCAGTAAGAGAGTCTGCAGGAACCTCACTGCCCAGTTCTGCTCCGATTCTGCAGAAGTGTCTCGGTCCTCAGAGTCAAATCTTGATCTTTGGGTTTTACGAACTCTGGGACTGAAGGACCGAGACACCATTGACTCCTTGGATGAGTGCACGTCTCCAGCGGGGAGCAGTCTCAGAAGTTTAGTTTATGATTCTGCAGTCAGCTCTTTCTCTTGTCCTTCCACCGATCAGTCTTTCAGCCAATCATCTGCCACTTCAACCCCGTCCAGCCACTGCCAAAGCTCCACACTGCAAACTGACTATCACTACAGTCCTGCCTCATGCCATGACCTGGGGTCTGCTCTGACCTACTCTTCAGGCCAGAACTTCAGCTTCACTGCCATGACCCCGACTGACCTCTACGAAGCTCCTGAAGCTGTGATCAGGAGCTTCAACCCATTACCTGCCCCACAGCCCCCAGCAAACACCCCTGCGGTCTGCCCCATCACTGCCTTCAGTGAAGGAAACATTCAAGAAGACCAACCATCTCACTGCTCAGTAGATTGGTCTCCGCTGGAATACAACCAGACAGCATTCAGCCCTCCAGCAGGAAGAAGACTCACCTTCTCTCCAGTTTCATCTTCCAGTCCGATCCCCAAAAAACAATGGAGACCCGCCCAAGTCTGCTGCCCCCTGAGTCCATCAGTAGGATTACAGCCAACTGCCACACCGCAGAGTCCTCGCAGTCAGACAGACTTGGCCTTCAGGATGTCCCTCAGTCCGTCCAACAGTGTCAAGACCCACAGCTTTCCCCAGGGCCAGGCCTTTGTCTCCAAGGACAAGGAAGGACGATGGAACTTTACTTGGCTCCCCAAGCAAAACCTGTAGACCACTGGTACTGGTACTAGTATTTGTACTGGTACTGCTGCAGGACTCACACCTGCTGATTTAAAAAAAATGGAAAAATTAAAATGTTAACCTTCACTAAACCATGTGACTTGTTTCTGAGTGGACAGTCAAACTGTGAACCCAGTGAATCAGTTGACACACGTGTGTCTAAGACACATGAACGATTGTCAAGATTACGTCAACAGAGAAGCTTTCAATGTTTTTGTACATGTTATTTATTTTTCTATCTTTTTTATCTGTTTGTATTAACCTTCATGTGTTACATGTCATCACAGAATTGAGTAGGTGGTGACCAGGGTTCAAGGTTCATTGACCTACTGGGACGATGTGGGACACATTATTAGGTTACACAGTGGTTCCTCTATTGGATTAGACTAGATTAAAAGAAATAACAATAATAGAAGTGTAAGTTTTTCTGACATGATTCAAGTCGTAGCTGGACAGTCATGACAAAAAAAGTCATTTAAAATAAAAGAAAAATACACTTTAATTCGATTGGTTTGACTCTGAAAAGTCAACCCAATCAGTAAGAGGAACAGAATCACCTGGTCGTACCACCACTGTGTGTGAGAAAGTGTGTGTGTGAATAAAAAAACTGCCAAAACCCAGAAAAGGTCAAATCAGTCTATCATGTTACAGAGAAACACAATAGAATACCGTGTCGTTTTAGTCACATGACCTTTTGGTCACATGGCCAGTGTCAATGTGTTCATTGACATTCATGTCATTGTGCAGCAGCTTCAAATGTGTGGCCAACATGTTTCTGTGTTTTTATACTTGTTTGCTTGTTTCATATAAACATTTTCACCAATGGGAAAAAACAGTCAAGTCTCTTTTTTAAAACTGATAAAACTCTTCAAATGTGCGAGTCAGCAGTTTGATTGACAGGCCACTCGGCCTGTTTCAACATCACGCACCCTCACTCAGGTGACCCGGTGGCTTGTTCTACACCTCTCTGTGGAACCTGCAGCATCATCTCACATGTGGTACCTCCTCACAAGTCAGTGTTTCAGAGGCTGTTTCACAGTCCCCTATCTATGAAGGATGTTTGTTATGGTTAAAAACTTCACCCTGGACAATAACCCAGTATGGACTCCAGGTCCTCCCGTCTTTAGCTCACTTACCAGTTAAACCAGTTGGATTACACTCCTCCAGCTCTCCAGTCTTTTCTTACAGTAAGGACTCCTCCAGATCCCTGGGGACACACCTCCTCCAACTAGACCCACCCCTGAGGGCCAACGATGAAGGGGTTTCTGCCCTCTGAGGGTTCCCAGCACAGGGTCCCGGCCTTTCCCGGGTTCCCCTGAGAGAAAGTCAGAACCAAGGGAAATTTTGCAGCAAGTTTTGTCCATGGCGGGACAGAGCGAGTGGTCTATCTCTAATGACAAGGTGTGACGGCTGCAGATGTCCGACAGATTGGAGGCAGTTTCAGTGACAGGAATGTGAAAGCTGGGCTGCTCCCTGTCACAGGCTCAGTTGTCGGCAGTGGGCTGAGGCTGGGCCAGAGAAAGGGGTCATTAAAGAGCCAGTCTGGCTGAAACCCAATCCTTCGCCCCAGATTAGGGGAACGGCCTCGCCGCCACATTCTCGCAGAATCGACAGGTTGCCTCACCTCAAAACACGTCGGCTAATGAGACGAGAAAGACCGCACATGGAACCCGAGTGGTTCCCAGAGTGTTTCATCTTCATGACTGAATCAAGTGAATTGAGGGAATCAACCAATCAACCAAGGGACCAGACGTGTCATTGTTGACTCAGGAACAACAGTAAAAATGCAATCAGTACAAATATCACTGCAGTTGAAATATCTGTAATATTATATATGTTCTACTGTGTCTCCAATACAAATGAATGATCAGTATCTACAGTACACACAGGTATAGGATTACTTTTTAATCTATAGCAGTAAGGTAAACTGAGCTTCCTACTCTAGACACTAGGGGGCAGCATCAATTGTAATGAGCAGGTTAGCAAAGTCAAAATCATATCTTCATTTGCTGAAATAGATCCCACTGACAACAGTGACCTGGTCAAAGGTCAGTGACACAGACGACCTTATGATACCACAATATAGATCACAGCTCAGCTAACTCATTTTAAAATGGAAGTATTAAAACAAAAAAACAAAGGCACTCTTTGATGGTCTTCTCACTCTGTGAAGTGTGTGTTGGGTGTGAGGAGGTGGGGGTGGGGGTTACCCTCCAGTGACTGGCTGAGGTTGATGTGACTTGAACTGCACTGTTCTGTAGAGATGGACGATTTAAGAGCTCATCTCGTTTGACAAATAGATTGATTTTTATTCATTTGAACTGTTATGCCAATGACACAGACTAATATTCCTGCACAGTAACTACACACTGACGCCATGAACCTCCACCACACTGTCTGCTGCTGTCCTCAGGGCCCCGGTTAAAGAGTTATTGATTAGTTTGTCGGCAGTTCTGCTCTGATTGATGAGGCTTTTCTTCACACTCCGGAATGTGGAAAAGTATGCATACATTTACACACACACGCGCATGCATGCACACACACACACGGGGACGAGGGGGGAGCGAAGAGGGAGAATGATTGTGTGCAATTTTAATTTCTCTTGGTGTAATATGTCATGTATAAGTATATGGATGCTGGTGACCTTTAACCTCTGAATGGAGTGACCATTGAGGGAGAAAACCAGCAGTAGAAGCGCGCACACACACACAGACAAACACACACTCACAGTTTAACAGTTGATCAGTCTTTATGGTTCTTTGTGTGATGATGAGTAACGACACAAACCATGCAGACCACTGCATTTGCCTGTTCAACAATTAACCTGACACACACACTCACACACACACAAGTTTTATAAAATACTGTCATATTTGTCCTACAGCTACACTGCAAAGCGCTAATAAAGTCTTTGAATGGAGACGTCATAAAGGTTTTTACCTTTTTTATGGTAAATGGTTTGAAATTTGTATTATTGTTTCTCTGCTGCGGCGGTCGGTTTTCAAATCTCTGGGTCAAATAACAGTCGCGTGTATTAGGCGTGTAGAATGTCAGTCACACTAAATGAAACATGTACACACACACACCCATGTAATGTGATGCATCACTCAGCAGTTCACTTTCACACACACACACACACACACACACACATACAGGGCTATAATAATAACCAGTTGGACCGGTCCGCTCAGAGACTGGATTACTATTAAATCTAAGAGTAATTCTGAACATTTTTCCTGTGTCACCGGAACCAGCCCCACCTTTACCTCCACCACCACCATTTCTATGCTGCAGACTCACCATAAGAACCAATCTGTGCAGGCTGCAGGAGGTTGATATGTCAGGAGAGGGCGCAGCAATGACCCTATGGAAGACAGAGCAGTGTTGTGTAAAACAGTGAGAATAAAGTCATGAATGAATCACAAAAGTCAGTTTAATTTGATAAAAAAAAAAGTAATGATGTAAGAGCAGACCTGCACTACAACTGCATTTACAGCACCCTCTGCAGGGGAGACTGAGACAAAAAGAAGTAAGAATTCTGCATCTTTAGGTATAAGTTTAAGTCTTGTAAAGTGTCAGCTGTAATGATATATTTTTTCAGGTTTCCTGAATAGAAATCACATGCCTAAGGATTTCCTTCTTTTTAGTTGTGATGTTGAACTTGAAAAACCTCAGTCTAAAATATACAAAAAGTACGACAACCTATGGATTTATCTCAGTTTCAGTTAAACACAAACTGACCTGTGGTTGTCAAAAAATTAGACAAAATAAGGTGCTGTAGCAGCCACACTGCCCCCTGCAGGCAGTGTGCATAAGTGACTTTTAGATGGACGTAGCTTTAGCTTCATGAATCAACCATGGTGCAGCAGAAGAACTGCAGCTTATGAATAAACACAGATCAATGATCTTCTCAGAGACTGATGGATGACATGGGAAAAGGTCACGACCCACAAACTGAGTCAGTCCTCTGAACTCAGTAACACGTCCAGTCTGTCACTGCAGTGATTCATGTTCAAGGAATCAGATTACAACCAGGTTCCTAACATTACTACAAATGAAACATCTTTACATGTGTAATCACTAAGAAAAGCAGGCCTTTACACAGAAGATGATAAACAGTCATGTGACCAGGAAGAAATAAGGGTGGAAGGGGAGTGAGGGTGTGACGCACACACGCGCACACACAACAGCAGTACCTTGTTATTGATCATTTGTTGTTACTTTAAGTGCTACCATTAACCAAATTAACCAATAAATATTAATTTAATAAAACACACACTCACACACACATTACATTACACACATATAGAGTGAATACTGTTCTGAGTCCAACTGTTATTTTTTTCAAGAGTCTCTCCTTTAAGCCCGATAACATTAAGGATGTGTAGAAACACTGCAGCTCACTTCACAACAGAGAACAGAAAAATACAAATATTCTATTCCATCATCCCCTGTCTTTTCCTCTAAACATTGGCAGAACACTTCAGCAGAGAGAGCTCCATTGTGTCTTGAGTTGATGGTGTGAAACCAGATCACCTTTCACACCAGGCTGTACTTCTCAGGAATTAGCAGAAGGATTAAGGCAGAATAAAACGGCTCACCTTCCTACTGACCCGTTCACAGGTTGAAACATTCTAATCCGTTTTTTTAAAACCCAACAACGTCCTCGTTTGAATGGCTGTTCACAGCCTTACTTTGGAGGGGTTTGACGTTCCGTCTATATATTTATCTATCACTCAGTGTTAGAAACCACATGTGATGTTATCGTTATCATGTTGTCCATGCAGAAATATATCATCTGTCATCTGATGACTGGGAAAACTAATACACGAAAATTATATTTTTCAACGTGGCAGGCTAGAAAACAACCTGGCAAAGCTCATCTGTGAGTAGCAGGCCTGTAAACAGATGAGCTGACGAACCGACCCACTAAGTGGCAGCAGTGCCACTTTTGAAAGGAGAAGAGCATAACCTGCATATATTTGTCAATAAATTATTATATTGGTATCAAAAGCCTTCCCTAGTGGTGCTTTTGCTGTTGTATGAAAGGAAACCACTTTCCTGATGTTCGCGGTGTCAAAGACACTGTTCTGCTGGACATGTTTCTTTTTGAAAAAAACGTGTTTCCTCCATCTTTTTGTCAAAAAGAGGTGTTTTTGGTTAAACCTATCAATGTTCTACTGCAATTAGTATAAAACAGAAAAAGGCAACAAACCAAAAAACAAACTTTTGTGGTGGAAGAACAGAGTCTCTCTTTCTTGTGGTAGTTTCAGTGTCTACATAGGCAGAGAAAACAACGTTCTGTGGGTAGTGGAAAATCAGTCAAAATGTTCACAGACTCTGGCACTCTCAGTTGAAAACCAATGAGTTAAGGAAAATAAATCATGAAAAAATGCCCCACAAGTACGGGGTATGTGTGTGTTTGTGAGTTAGGAGGAGGGGATGGAGGGGGGGGCAGCTTCACTGGTTCAACTGACACCTGCTGATAAACACCTCTAACTTTTTAAACCACTGTGGACTCCTCAGCACTAGTTCTATTTTTCATCAGGACAGTGATTTGAAGAAGAACAATGCATTACAACATTCACAGAATCCAAACCACAATATCATCATATGATGAGATCACCATTTAAAAACATCTTTTAGACTATCTGTTGATTTACACTAAACCTTTATTTGGTTTTCATTTTGGTTAAAAATGGATGGACAGGATCATCAACGAATAAACAGGACATAGGATGTTGGAGATGGAGGAGAAAACAAAGACCAGAGAAGAGTTAAGGTGGTGTGGTGATGGAGTTTGTCAAAGCAGAGGAGGCAGGAAAAGGGGGAGAGAAGATGAATGAGAAGAAGGCAGTGAAGATAAGAAGAAGGAGAAGATCAGATGAAGATGTCCAGCCACGGTTCATCAGTCAGGGATTCTTTCTTGTTAAATCAGTCTAAGATCTTCCCACAGACAAACCTGCTCCTGATCATCTGAACACAAACACATCACACTAAGTGTCCTCTAGCGCCCCCCTCGGAACATCGTTGTTCTTCTCACAGGTAGAAAAGAAGGAGCTTGGGGCGGGGTCCGTTTGTGGGACGGTTCCTAACTGGACATCCGTTCCATCATGCATTGTGTTTAGTTTTGCTGCAAGCTCTGCCCCCTTGTTGTCCCTCTGGTGAGCAGACCCCACACACGCTGGGCAGCCTCTGCAGTGCTGCGACCCCTCATCTCCACAGACACCCCCAGTCCTCACACTTCTTCTTCCTGTGGGAGGAGCCTGGGTACGCCTGTGGCTGTGATTGGCTGATGGCCCTCTGTGTCTCTGATTGGTCTCGTCTTTCTGATTCTGGATCAACAGGGCTCTTTGAAGGGCCAGAGCAGCCAGGTCTGAGTGAGAGGATGTGCTGTCAATCAACCTCCTGCCCAAAGCCAGAGGTCTGAGGGGCAGCGCCAGCCGCAAGCGCAGCCAGAACCGTGAGCTCCGTGGTTCCGATCGACTCTCTCTCCACTTGACAGTGGTGACGGCGGCCTGACGGAGCTGAGCCACCTCAACGTATGGGAGTTTAGTGACAGAGCGGTAAACCACCGCCACGATGGAGGTTCGGTGGCCGTGTTGGAGGAACAGACCCAGACGACACTCCAGGAGGCTGAAACTCTTCTCTGTCAAGAAGGCGGGGCTGAGGACGAAAAGGATGCGGCGGCTCCGCTGCATCGCCTGCAGGACGGCCTCTGATAGGTCTGATGGACAGAAGACCATAGAAGAAACTGTTAGAAACTCAACACACTGTCTTCTAATCCAAGCAATCAGCCTCTCGTTACCATGGTGACACTTGATCAATACATAGTCCACATATGGTGAGGATATTACATCATAACTGTGTTAATACAAGAGGCAGGTCATCTGGTTTATATGTAAATATGTTTGAAAAAAAAAGGAAAAGGCTTCATATGAGTTCAGGGACAGAACGTGTGCGTTTTAAATGTAGCTCTTATGTGGGTAACACGTTTACAGGACGACAAGTACAACTTGTTTGGTTTGAGTTGAATCAAGGCAATAACATAATTTGTGTTTTTTATTTATGAATTATTTTTCCTGAGTGGTTTATTAAATTGACGTAATTGTAAAGAACTTTGTTGGATTTCTTATGTAAACTCAGACCTCAGCAGGTGCAGATGAACATGAACCAGTGACAAAATGAAAGAGCGAACTGAGAAGAAATGACTGTGAGGTTGACTTTTAATGAAGGTAAAACCTGCAGACAGTCATAGAAAAACAACAACATGACGGTGGAAAAGTAAAAAGTTAGTTAGTGAACCACTTCAATACCTCAGACCAAGGCAAAGTGAAGTGCAGCCTGGAAGTGAAATACTGTGTTCAAGATAAGGGTCGCTGTACTCAGTGGTATGACAGAATTATTGTTGAGTTGTGAGTTAGTAAATTTAGGCTAACAAAACAGAACAACATAATGTGAAGGCTCATCTCTACATATTAAAGTAAGAATCATTAAAGTTTTATCCCATGTTTCCTCTGTAAAATGTGCAACTGTTCTTTTCCTAATGTCGACTACTAAAGTGTTAGCAGCAGATGAAATTATGACGCACTTTCATACACACACCAAACACAGACACAAATTAAATTGCAATGATTTAGCAGTTCCTCTAATGGCCATGGGATTTTGTTTAGAGATAAACATTGAAAGTTCCAAATCAAACTTCATCTCAGATAAAGGAGAATAACAAATAATAACGACTTCAAGGCAGTGGCTTGGCTTTTTACCTTGGCTCTGGGCCAAAACATGCTTGCCAGACCTGTAAATAAATGCACCTTTAATACTGTGAAGAATAAATGTGAGATTTCTCTTCTGATAAAGATGTTCACACATTAATACTGACAATCTGAATATTTTCCATTATTTCCCAAATAATGTTCAAAAAATAATAACAGGACGCTTATGATTGGCCCATCTGCCGACCACTGCCTTAAAGTTTTCCAGAGAATGACTCCCCCTGGTGAGTGAACTGAATATTTACATCTGCAGGGCCAGGTTATCCTCAGACTACACCATAAGTACAGACTATATGTCTCATGTCCTAAAGCCACAGTGGGACAAACACACACCTCATGCCTGCTACAGGAAATAACCAATATTTAGAGCTGGCAAGCTTCCAAAAAATACTAACATAAATATTGGTGCTGTGAGCTGCACGTTAGTGGTGGGTTTCTTCCTCATCCATGCACTGCAGTTATCACCAACACAAAAACAATGAAATCAACATCAACAATTCATGATTTGAAATGTCCAGACAGACGTAGATGTTCAGGTCGTTGAGGTTTAGAAAACTCTGATGTCTCATCACTTACAGTGTCTTACTGGGAAGAAGAAACAAGTCTGGCATGACTGACAACAGGACCAACACAGTCTAACTGATGTCATCTGTCCTGACCCATCACTGACACTGACCAATCAGAGTGCAGAGCTCTGTGCATGTGCAAAAGCAGCTAGTGTAAACAAACAAACTGAGAAGAGAACGAGGACCAGTGAAGTTGTTGTGTGACATAAACCTGTCTTTCTGTCGTCGTGGGTGATGGATTCAGTCGTGGCATCATAACAGAGTACACACTCACACTGGAGAGCCTGGATGTCAGTTCACATGGTGTTGACGTACGCCCACTGTTTGAAGACTGGATCAAAATAATTAAAGACAACAATTCTAGTGAAAGACAGCTGAAGGATGAGATTGAGATCTTGAACTTCTCAGGACAACAGTGAGTGGCATCAATAATCATGAAGAAATCAAAGAAGCTTGGTTTCCACCAGACTTTGTTTACACTGCGTGGAGCTGTTTCTTCGGAGAAGAAAATGTCACCTTCAAACACCTGCCCTCGGATCAGGACCGATGTGGATGACCGTTGACACCAGGTCGGTTCCCTGTGTATCTGCTGTGACCCGTTAACACCGGCTCCAACAATCCACCAGTCTATGTAGCAGAGTTGAGGACTCTGTTTGGTTCCTTGACAGTGTTGCTGATAAGTCCAGTCTGTGAGTTGGTACTGTTCTGACTGGACAGTCTCATCAGAGACACGTCTTTACTGCTCCACCCCTCCTTCCCATCCTTCCCACCGACCCTCCTCACTGGCAGCTCCACCCTCAGCCTCTTCCAGAAGTGAGACGTCAGCTCTTTGGATTTGTCCCCGTTCCAGCGGACCACTGCCAGTGCCACTCGAGCCCTGCGCAGCTCCCGGACCCAGCCTTGCCCCTGCACTGGCTTGTACTGGACCAGGATTACCCGCAGGTGCCCGTCCAGCGCCATGCCATCTATGCCAGCTTTCAGCTCCAGCAGGGCCTGGGAGCCTTGGCTGGCATAGCCTGGGCTTACCACCACTAGGAGGCGCCGGCTACGAGCCACAAAACTCAAAGTTTCATCTGTAATAGCTGTGGGAGAGAGGAGGGGTAATGAGGATGAAGACGGATGATGGATGGATGATTTTACAAACACACAAATTGGAAACAATCAGCTCATTTGACCCTGTGTGTGTATGTGTGTGTGTGTGTGTGTGTGTGTGTGATTGTACTCACTCCCTCCAGGCAGACTGTCTTTGTCAAAGATACACACTGAGTATCCGAGCTCATTCTCCAGAACTGTGTGCAGAGTTGTCAGAACAAATTGTTCCTCTTCACTGTTTCTTGCATACGAGATGTAGACATCGTACTCTTTATCATCTGAACAAACAAACACACACACACACACACACACACACACACACAGGATGATGGTATCAACATAGGGCAGAACTCGGGCAGTCATCTGAACAGGAACTCCAGTCAGGATGTCGTTTTTACTCAGTCAAACTGATAAAAAGCCATTTTCCCAGCATCAGTAAAAGCACCACTAATTAAACAGCTGCATTATCGTTAACATGTCGTGTTGACTTGACAAAAACATAAAGCTGAGCATAGACTTTTTATAGCCACACTGTAAACTTTACACCCCTGTGTGTGTGTGTGTGTGTGTGTGTGCTTGCTTTAATCGTCTAAATGCTCCGACCAAACTGCAGCCTGTAGATAATTCAGTCAGTGTTTCTAGCTTGATGGATGTTTTTAGTGACATCAAGAGTCAAATCGACACTATTGATTATGTTTGGCTCCACACACACCGACCGCCTCTCACTGCTGTAACACCGCACCGCCATAACGCTATCCCTGCAGTCTCACCTGTGTGTCGCTCGTCAGTGCCAAACCAGGAGCGGTAGAGCAGCAGCAGCTCCAGCCAGAAGACGTGATACACCACAAAGAGAAGTAACATCAGGACCAGGGTCACCCCCAGACCACAGCCCAGCTCCACCGATGGCACTGACACTGAGGAGACAGAACACGGGGGGTTCTGAGAGGACTGATGTCACAGAGCTGACGTGGTGGTCCACAGCCGTGGCAGGTGAGATGTGAGGTGTGTTCTACTCACCCTCCTCCTCCAGGTGAACTCTGCGGGTCTCGGACCCACACTCGTTTCTCACAGAGCAGTTATATTCTCTGTTCAGGTCTTCAGAACCAAAGTTCTGGATCAGCAGGATGCTCTCCTCTGTACGGTCCCCGAAATAGTACTTTATCTGACTGCACACACACACACACACACACACACTGCTGTGAGTCACATGACCTTGGACTAGAGGATTCACTTCAATCTGCAATTTTATTTTGCTCCAACTGATCATTATATTCATTCATGATTTTTACCCGCTGTTCTACTCCACCACCCCCCCCCCCCCCCCCCCCCCCCACAACAGCAGGTAGAGCAGGGAATTGAACCTGAGATCATTCAGCTGGAACCCCACCCTCCACGGTGTGGCCCTAAAATAGTTTTATAATAGAATTATCCGTGGTAACATGAAGTTACTAAAGGCTTCTACCGGTTCTTGTTGGAGAAGCGCTGATCAGACAATTTGTCCAGCCTCCTCCCGTCAACTGTCCACCAGAAGTCCCAGCGAGACTCCAGGAACGGGAACAGACCCACACAGACCAGACGCACCTCGGTGCCTGGGAATGAAAAGTGTGTTAGTTTGTCGAAAAACAAGACTGAACCTAATGTGAATGTACAGTAAAGACAGGAAACAACACTGTGACCACAGTGGCATCAGCAGCAGCGTCCCCTCAGTCCATGTGTGTGTGTGTGTGTGTGTGTGTGTGTGTGTGTGTTAATGACTGCACCTCCTGCAGCTCCTCCTCTTCTCCACAGACAATTAAATCTTGTGAATGTGGAGTCTCACCCTGCTGCTCATAAACCTCTAAAGATGAAACCTTTTTTAAAGAAATGGTTTGTTGGCAGGAGGAGCTCTGCCACTCCATCACCTCCTCTGTGGCAGCTTAATGTCCTGACAGTTTGGCTGCAGAAGGTGGAGCTGCAGCAAGTCACACAATGACAGGAATTAACAGAGGAAGGAGGAGGAACAGAAGGAGAGACTCGTGTCTAGACCAGCTGCAGTCATTGGTTAAAAAAAAATTTGAGGGTTGTAAAATTTTATGATAAATCTATTGTTTAAAATCCACAAGCGCTAAGGTCAAGCCTGCCTTGGAGGCAGAGCGTAGAGAGTCCTGGGTTCGATTCCCAGCAGAACCACATGCTTGGAGCCTGTTAACATCAGATCTGTTGTTAACACAAGGATTTCCCAATTTGGGATCAATACATTTCAAATTACATTTTTTTTGGTTCTCACCCTATGGCACACAACTTGTGGTGTGTCTATGTAGTCACATTACTATTAAAAAAAATGGTGAAAAACTTCTGACGGGCTTGTGCAGCAGCAACGCTGCACCTGGTTCTTGTACATGGTTCTGATTAAACCTGGGATTTTCTATATCACCATGGATATGATAAATATATACATGAGTAGCAAATCCTGTATTAAAAGTCAGAACAGGACATGAAACATGATGATGATGATTTGTTGTGATGTCCCACAGTGTAGCGCCATCTCCAGTGATGAGTACTATTCTACATCATTTTTTGACGCTACAGAACTGAGGAAAACTGAAATGAGTGAAAACAACAATGGTCACCTCACTGTTGTTAAAAGATTTCTGCTGGACACCTACCCAGTTTGACAGTGAGGACATTGTCTGCAGGCGGCTGAAGAATACTGGGTAATTTGGACACAACTGTCGGAGCTAAAGAAACAAGACAGAGCGGCGGTCAGAAGACGAACAGTTGACTTCCTGTGTCTGACATCAGTGTGGTTTTCTCACAGACTGCGGTGACGTTGATGCTCCTGGTGAAGTTGAGGGTTTGACCTTTTCTCATGTAGGTAACTGTGCAGAAGTATAAACCTCTGAAGTTGTCATACATGATGTGGAAGTTCAGACTGGAATCTTTCCTCATCACCTCCCGGTCAGTGTTCCAGGAAAAATGCTTATCACACTGAGGACAAAGAGGACACAGTCACACACAGAGACACAGAGGGGACACAGTCACACAGTGGAGAAAGACATGAGTAATACAATGTTGACAGGTGACCGTGACAGACTTAGCTACTGGACAGACAAACCTTCACTCTGATTGGATCTTTGTTTAGATGTCCAACCTTCTTGACAACTAACTCACGTCTTATTGGCCCTCATTAGTTCATCCACTTTACATGAGACATCAGTTCTGATTGAACATCGTTCCTGACGGATTTTTCCATCTGATTTTTGTTAGTTGACTGATGTGTCCAATAGCTTTGGTCATTTGATGTAAATATAACTTCCTGTTTAAGTTTAGTTGACAAAATGAACACTTCACATCATTAACCTGCAGCATGGCAACATTACTGTGAACAAATGTACAGCTGTGACCCTGAGCTTCCTACTTCAGTTGAAACAGTTTCACTGTTTCTGGGTCACGGTCAAAATTCAAAACCTCACAGACAAACGGGTCACTGCAGTGCAATGTATGTGTACTCTATTTAAAATACCTCATCATTAGACAGTACTAAGGTCAAAGGTCATCTTCTAATTTCATCACTGTGATGATGTCTCTGTGTGAGCTGGTCTCCACACACGTTGGATGTTTTACCATTCCGTGGACCGTCAGGTGATACCAGTGGACCGTCGGCTCAGTGTCGGCCATTTTGGTGACGTCCTGAAGGTCTGGACAGTGGATGACCTGGCTGCTCTGCAGCGGAATAACTGCCTGAGTGATTGGGGTAGAAACAGGATGGTGGCAGCCTGTGACCACGTTTTCACGAGGCAGCACCTTCAGACGCATTCCAATCTTACTGCACGAGGACTTGTTCCTGCAGAGGCACAGGGAAGAAAGAAAGAGTTCTGGTTCCTGAGAGTTCTCCCATGATGCATCGACTGAAACCACACTGGTGATCACACACTGAATTTACTGTAACAAGGCTGAAAAATCTAGGTCAAACAAACCCCAACAACCTTCTCTTGACAATGTCAGTCACAGAAAACAGGATGTGACATTTAAGCGGCGTGGGCAGATAACCAGGAAATTAACAGATTTACTCCCTGCCATGATGAAAGGTCATGGTTTCTGCCCTCAAAGCAAAGTCTTTCTTTCATTTGATTTTTTCATCTTCTACAGCTTCCAATACTTACAGACTGACAAGTGATGCATTGTGGGTTGTATGTTGCAAGGCTATATAGAGTGTTGCATTCATTTTCTTTTCTACTCATCAGTTGTGATTCTTGCCATTTTCAAACTCAACAGGGACCCCGTATTAGTTAACTCTGTGTTCACACTGACTTTTAATACAGGATTTGCTGTGCTGCTCTGTGCACACTGATACCTGTTTTTGTTCACATTCTGAAGGGTCGTGTTGTCATGTGATCAGCACAATGAGAATTTAAAACATTACTAGAAATCTATTGTCCTTCGCAGAGACTACCACATCAATCTCCAGTGTCATAGACATGATGTTGTATTCTTGTCGTGCTAGTATCGCTGCGCAGCGAATACCATATTAAGTGTGAAAACAGCATTAATTCCTCTCTGCGTTTCTCATATGACTACAGACTGGGCCACATGTGGCCCTCGAGCCACAATTTGTATAGGTCATTTCAACAGGCTGAAAGACCTTTCAGAACACACTATCCATATGTTTAAACCAGTGTCTGGAGATGATGGTAAAATGGATTCAAACCAGAAACCTGCTGAAGGGTTAGAATCTCACCACTGCAACAATGAGATATTAAATATTAGATGATATTTTATGTAGGATCCTTTTATAATAATGATTACTATTTTAGCTGCAGTGCAGCAGATTATAATATTTCTTTAACTGTGTGAAGACAAATCCGTGCTGAGGAGAAACCTCATCTCCTAAAAATGTCCAAAACCCTGCAGCAGTCAGGAGCTGCACCTCAGTGAGGACCTTTTGACGGAGCAGAACTGATCCAGCTGATGGATCACATGTTAGCTGAAGTGATCTCGGAGCAGAGGGACAGCATTTCCTCAACCTGCTCCAGGAGCCACTTATGTTGATTAAGTATGAAGCGACTCAGTGGTGGATTGAAAGTGAGGCAGCAGCAACACCTAGTTCTATCTGCTTCACAGATCTTCTGATAATGAACCACAGACACACAGAGACCTGTGCTTTTTTAATGGAAAATATATTTTTTAAACAAAAATCGGATCAGTTAAATATGAGCATTTTAGTTTTCACAGAATATTAGGGCTGTATTGATCACATCCACTGATCTATACATTCAAGGGAGAACAGGAGCACTCTATGCAGAGAGAACAGCAGTTAGGGCTGAGGATTGAACTGTGAATCCTCTACTGTAAGGCATAGGCACTAACCACCATGGCACTCTATTAGTCATGAATATTCAGTTCAAATACTTTGATCATATAATATGGTAATATATCCAGGACTTACTGTAACATGCAGATGTAGAGTCCACTGTCCTGGGCGCTGGCTGGCTGCAGCCATAGTCTCTCTCGATCTTTACTGAGACGTGGGCTGTAGAGGAGAGTCCACATGGTTCATTTCAGCCTGAATGAAGTCAAATCACTTCCAGGTCAATCACTGCCAGTAGAAAACAAAGTCTATAAATGGATCTGTGGGACTAATAGAGCTGAACCCTTCCTGAACACCATTCATCCTGACTGAGAGGAAAACCACTCCAGAGCTTCTTCATCAGGACTGAGGCTGCAGCCTGCAGTCTACACAGACCACCTTAGAGCCTAACCTGGGAAGTCAGTGCCACACTAACTAGGTTCAGACTTCACATGTCAAAGACAACCTGTATATTTAACGTATGGATGGAGAGTAATTCACAATTCTATTTCTCTAATTCTGATGCTAATCAAGCACGATTACCCTCACCCTCCCACGGTACCTGTACTTGATTGGCTGTTCCAGGTCTTGACCCTCAGGGAGGCGGTACCAGAACAGGTTGTGTCCAGCGCTCTGAGTAGAGGTGAAGTTGTAGACAGCGGGATGAGAGAAAAGAGGACAGGACAGCCAACAGGCCTCACCCTCCAGGACGGAGACTCTACCCTCACTGGACTCCCCCCAGTCATAGCACATGGGCTCTGGTTAGAAGGACAAAGAGGGTCAACAGCAGCGGCCAACAAACAAACAAACAAACAAACAAACAAACAAACAGACAGACAGACAAACAGGCACAGAGACAGACAGAGAGACCAGTTCTCTCTTTATCTATATAAACAGCTATTTTTGTCACTGTCCATGTATTTCATGGGTGCCTCTGGCACATTTGGGACAACTCTTAAGCAACACATCCACTAAGAGGCAGTGTTGAGTTCAGAGCCACCTATATTTACATTGCAGATACAGCATTACAGTACTAGCCAATGAAGATTCTACTTCGTTACTCTGGTTAATGATCAATAAAAAGGTTACTGTTAACAAAAACTGAAACAGATATGATAGATATATGGGCCGCATTTCACTGCCATGAAAGTGTTATTATAATTATAAAAGAATTTTTAGAGTTCTCCTCATCCTGCTGTTTTTTGATTTCCCTGAGAGAATTAAGGGAACTAAGGGATCAATAAATGTATATAATCTCATGATATAATCATGATGATATAATCTCAAATTCTTATCAGGTGCAATATTTTTTGCATTTTTTTTCTAATCTGTGCGATGTTTTCGTTTGGTTTCTGCAATATTCTAATAAATAGTGAAATATTTGCTTCCACAGGAGTACTTTATGAGCACTTCAAAATATAATATTTTTGGTACATTTTTCTGGTACATTTTAAAAATATTGCCTTCAATATAAACATAGAATTATCTTTAATGTGGCAGTTTATCATGATAACTTCACTACACAGGGAATTTTAAACAACATCTGATTTCTGTGAAAAACTGTGTAGAATTGCATTCATTTGGTCTTTGCAGCAGTGTTTCACTGCAGCACAGCCGTTAAAGATGTGGATGAATGGTTGGCTCCCTACATACACCTGCACATGGTGTGAATGTGTGTGTGTGTGTTGGTAATTGACCTGTCATTTTTCCTCTGCCAGAATATTAGTCTTGCTTTTAAAACCCTCTACACCTTCATCCTCCTCCTTCTCCTCCTCCTTCATCCATACAGCCAGTCATCCATGTACATACATACTTCATCCTCCCCCCTACAGGCTGCAGAGCCTCCAACAGTGTCAACTCATCCCATGTAAGGTGGAGATCAATGTCAGGCAAAGACACCTCCATCAGCTGCAACTGTTTCAAACCTCCTCCTTCAACCACTTCACCTCAACCTTCTATGACCTTTCTACCCTGGACCACACCCACAACACCCTCACTGTCCCTAGTCTCATTGTCCCCTGCACCTCCCCCTCTCCACCATGAGCTCTGAAACGCTTTATCATCTGACCTTTGTAATGTTGACTCTCAAACTCACCTCTTTGAAGAAATAACAAACTTAAAACCACTGGAGCACTGCTACTTTGTAAGTGACTTTATTATCATTATTATCATCATTACTAATATTAATATCTATATCAATGTTCATATTAATGTTATTATCATTATTATTATTATTATTATTATTATTATAAATAACCAGCAGTCTTCTCAGCACATCACAGAATCATGTATGGACTCAATCACACTCACATTTACACCGATGTAACGTTTAGAGTGAACATTCTCCCCACCCTGTACCACCCACTGCCCCACACCATCATACATCAGGATAAAACCTATAAATTAACATATTAACTATTTGCAGCAGTAACAACACCCACTCAGACATGTAAGGTTGTCCTAGGACTCCACTCCTCTCCTCCAGCCAGTACACCGACCCCCCCACCCCCGTCCACCCAGCCTCCTGGCACACACTCATACATGACCTCTTCAGCCTGGAACCGTCCCTACACCGTCCCTACACCGTCCCTACACCGTCCCTGGGGCCCGAGCTTCAGCTTTGTTGGTCTCAGTTTCTGCAGAACTGCAGCCATGTGAACAGAGCGACGTGGCTGTGTGTGTGTGGTGTCAGTGGTGTGTGTCTATACATGTCTGTGTGTGTTTGCATTCCATGGATCAATAGAAAATTCCACAATGTTCTGGTGTTTTCTTTTGTTTTTACATAAAAGCTATGAGAAAGCTATAAAACTATGAGGAATGGAAAAACACAAACCAGCCTGTATCAGATGTGGAGTACAAATACTCCAACGAGGCTGAGGTACTGTGTGTACAACATGTCTGTTCACTTGAGCTGTTAAAAAGTATTGCTTCACTTCCTCAATACAATGGCCGAAAAATAGGTCTCTCCAATGTTACATGTGAAGGAAACCCAGTCCGGTGTTCAGTCACACACTGCAGTATGTTAGAGCTCCATCTGTTGATTTACATTTTTAACACATTCTAATGCACGGGCAGAATGAAGCACACTGTACATCCAATAATACCACTGTCCGTCCACTCATCTTTGCTCTAATAGACACGCCCTACACATACTGTTATTCAGAAAGAGTTTTAGTTTCACTGTTCCACTTAGATCCTAACATCCCATCTTCACAGTCATCACGGTCAGTAAGTCTAAGACTGACAAACCGCAGAGCAGGAGGAAGTGGTAAACTGAGGAACTCAATGTCCATGTCCTTTATGAGAAAATATGTGGGGTTGACTTAAAATACAGAGTCATGCTACCTGCTGGAAACACACACCTGATCTCTCACAAACCTAATCACTATGGTCAGCTTTACCTCCAATAAAAGTTGTTCATTTAAAATGATTTAAGAAAATAAAAGTCAGTTCCAGGATAGGTTCCTTCAAATAAACAGCCTAAAATACAATAGGCTACAATACCATATTAGAGGTTTTTTTTAATAAAATGAACAATGGCACACAGAATGAGACCAGGCTGTGTGAACATGATGGGATGCTGACTCTACAGTCACAGCCAGGAGTGACTTATATTGACTGGTGATGTCACTGCTGTCACTCACCTGTCAGGTCACTGAACTGAGACACAACTGGTGTAGTCCTGACTGCCAGAGTGAAGATGAAGAGGAGGATGAAGACAGAGGAGGAGGACGCCCTGCACAGAGAGTTACACAAACAAATGAATGACACATCAGGAGAAAAAGTAAACATTCACTGTTTTTAAAAACCTGAATCTGAAGTCGTCAACAGCAGTTAGTACATCCAGTAAGTCTACAACTGACAGTGTGACTGACACAAATGGATCATTGTTTTTCAGGACTGTAGACTGATTAATATTGTTGAGGACAACAACTGGAATGGAGTCTAGAAAGAAACTCTCCACACGTTCTCCAAGACACCATCCAGATGAACAGTAATGACTGAAATACACCAACTCTATGAAGACACATTTTCACTGATATTTGTCTGTCTGTTCCAAAAATACACAGAAAAAACCGTACACCATAATCTGATGAATTAAAAAAAACAAGTAGGATTTATCTTGATTAGTCATGTCCGATATTAACTTATTAACCGATATCCGAGAAGCCGATATTGTCCAAACACTGAATTTTGGATTCTGATATAAACCGATACTGATACATGTAGCTGTTTGCCCACAAAACCGTGGTAAACATCACAGGACCATACAAGGGATTCCAGCGTATTTTAGGGATTGTGATATTATGGGTTTTTATTATCGGAGAATAAACCAATAACAATTTTTTTACCAATATTACGTAATTATGCTAATACCGCAAAACATCAATTTGAAAATCTTGTATGTATTCAGTGACAAGTTTTAAATAAATACATACATATATATTCTTAGAATGTCATTTCTGCATCTGCAATCATCTCAGCAAAATGTCCCCACAATCTGTGTAACAATTAAATCACATTCTGATATCAAATGACACAAAATTCTACCAAAGAGTTTCCAAAGTGTCAGGAGACAATTAAGTTAAATTGACCTTGACAAATAAAAGGCAGGAGTTCGAGTCCGACATTAGGAGAGAGAGGAAGAGACGGAGAGATAAAGTGTCAGGCAGACAATCAAGGATCAGGCAGAACTAGTGGATCCCAGGGGGGACATACAGGGGAGGGGGCTGTTCAACTGCACCATCATCCATCAACCATGGGTTTGCACAGTTCTTCCTGTGAAGGCACTGCATTGATTTTTATTATATGAACAGCCCAGCCAAAGACTTATCTCTATCTCCTTCTCAATAATTGCCTCAGTGCAAAAGTGAAAATCTGAGACAAGGTTCTGTCCATCAAGACCAGTCTCTGGTCCAAATGAGGACACCTGACAGGAAACATAAACACTAACAGAGCAGAGCACAGATGGGTGTGTGGTCTGCATTCACCTATCTACTCAGGCGTAGGTAAAAGTTGGAAAGACTAACACGATGACGACGATGATGATGATAAAGAACAGGCTGTGGTGTTTAGCTGACCACTGCAAAGCCCACAAAATGGATCTGCCTGACGATAAACTAATTATCAGAACGGATCAATGCAGTGGAGACTGCTAACGGAAGACAGTCTCAGCCAAGATAAAGAACTAAAAAACGCCCATTTTAACGTCCAAGAACTGTTTGAACACTCGAAACCAAGATTGCTACAAATGACAAGACACTCCATAAACGCTGAAACCGTGTGGTAAATTCTCGAATAAATTAAACTTTACATGAACAAATATCCACATGTATCGTTGCCACACGCTGTACTGTATCTGGACTACCTGAAGTCATTTATTATTATTAATATTATTTTACCAAAGTAACGTATTTGTGTTCATTTGAATAAGGTCTGAGGTAAAGGGTGTAAGGCGAACCGAATCGAAGACTAACAAATATGGTTGATAAAGTTGTATTTTCTTCTTTTATATGTGAATTTAATCATGTGTTAAAGCTTAAATGTTTTTCAAGTTGTAAATGGTTAAAGTACGTTTTAAGACTGACGCGGGAAATGATCTCGGGTTGTTTAACTCAGAAACATTTACCACATTACACTATTGAACTGGACTTACATGGTCCATGGACTCCTGTGTTTGTGATGAGATGAACCGGTCCAGATCCACTGAGTGGAGCGTGTGGCGGGGGAGACGAGGACAGACGGAACCAGGACTGGAACCACAACGTGAACCAGGAAAAACACTGAAAAGCAGATCTGAGGGGGACACCGGGTCTGTTACTGAGAAGGCAGAAGAGGGGCGGGCTAGCTGGGTTCTGAAGACGCCCCTCTCTCTCTCTCACTCTCACACACACACAGACACAAAAACACTAGGGGTCTTAGTGCTGCAGCAGCGGGACTCGCATGATTAACAGTCCGGTATTATAGTGCAGTCGCGGCTGTAAATTTTCCCGGAGGTTCCGCAGCGGAACCCCGGACTCGCGAAAGCACATCATAAAAATTAATGGAATACATGATAATGTGTCTAAAGGTCACGTGCTGTGTCAGCGACCGGAAGTAGGAGATAGAGACAGACTGACAGAAAGTAGGAAGTGGCCGAGATGAGTGTTTTCCAGTCAGTGCTCCTCCTCCTCACTGGTGTCGCAATACATAATACATAAACACACAAGTCACATCTGACACTTTCACACACACTTTCACACACACATATACACGCACTGAGTGAGAGAGAGAGAGAGAGACGGTGGACCTATGTATCAGCCCGTATCCTAAAAGTAACATATGTTCTAATGAAAGCAGCCCTCGAGCGTTAGGAATGTTCTGTAAATCCATGTGATGTAAACCTAACTGTTGTTCTCTGGAAAATCTCTGGGTCAACTCCGGAGTTTTATGAACTTCAGTCCAAGTTCCTGCAAAGAAACAGGAAGATTGAATCCGGTTCAATTTTGCTAACTATAGTCAACTCTTTAACTGCTGGCCATGAGAGGATCCTTCACTGTTATGTAGTTTTCTGAAATTACGCTACATCCATCGTCTGTATGACCACATACTGTAGGTCTGGTTCATTTCGTTGGGCTGGATGGAGTCATCTGAGAAATGCAGCCACACTACGCTGTGCATAATAGTTATTTTTACCATCAAAACCAGACTGGTCATTTTTGTAGTGTGACGTCGTCTCACTATTGGTTTTAATGTGAAGTACACTTATTTGATTTGGTTCAACAGTGAGTATTCTTTTGTCCTGGTGCTGTAGAACACAAACCATTGAACGTAATTTGGCTCCCTCTAGTGGTATGCAGAATAATTGATTCCTATTACGATTATGCGAGTCATACGTACATTATCACGTATGTAGTCTGTTTGGCTGATAAATAGTCATATTCTGGACTTATCTTCACCGCTGTATTTTAACGTTTACCATACAAATAATACTAAGAGAGAAACATATTTTCAGAGGTATTACAGGGTGCTCTGGACCCTAAATATAACAGAAGTATAATGACAGTAGTTTCAAAGACTGGAGGTGTGTATTTGTGTTGTTGGTGCTGCACTACAGCAGGTGTATTTTAAAGAGTGACTGGTACTTCGTGTGTGTGCCTGTACAGCATTACACGTCTTCATTCAAATATCTTTAGTTTCTATTAACCTCTTAAAACCACAGTTCAACATGCATGAAATACGTATAAAAAGAGCCAAGGAGTGAGGTTTTATTTTCTTTTATTCTTTTTTTTTGGTCAATCATCTTTTTCATCCTGCGGCATATTTGTGATGAAGTTTCTCTAATACGTGATGTGTTATATGAGGGTGTTTCAGAAAAGGTGCAAACATCAGCAAACACAAAGAAAGTACAAGACAAGTCCACACTGCAACAGTTCCTTCTCCTCTCTGTTGCTTCAATGACATCATCAGTGTGCACCTAAATTTCAGCAGAGCTGCTGGCGCGGCCGGCGCTGCCCTGGGCCGGACTGTGCAGGACAACAGGTTCATCACTAGTGATGTAATCATTTTATTGATTATTAGAAGATGATTAGATCTTTGTGATTGAATAAATACATTGGCCTGCTGTGGTTTTGTTTTACTCCGTGTCCTTTCATAAAAGCCACACTGCTTTCAGATCACAACAGGTTCAACATCAGTGACAACATTTACAAAATCAAAACACATACAGTTCTATAAATTAAACAAAACACTGACTTTCCTCATCATGTTCTCACCCATGAACACATTTTGTGTAAAACAAAACAATAATTATTTTTAGGTCAAGATAACAGATTTTAAAAAATACAATTTAAAACATGGAGGTTTCTGAAAAACTCTATTTGTTTTTCCTATCCTGAACTTATGGGAATAAACTTAGTGGTCAGAACAGAAGACTCAGGAAGACTTCATATTTGCGATGGACTTAACTCAGGTAGATGTCAGTGTGGGCCACCTGAGGCAGATGCTGCTCACTCTGAATCTCTGGATCTGATGGAATCCTTTTTTTCTCAGCAGTATTTTTAAGTTTTCTGTTCAACCTGTGGGATGTTACTGAACAAAATAATAATTCCTGTATCTTAACATCTTCATTTTAGAAGAATATGTTTGTTACATGACATTTCAATGTGACTTGAATGTGAACGTGATGTGATGCAGTCACAGCGCCCCCTTTATTCTGGCCTCGGTCTGAGCCACCTGGAAGACATTCTCTGAGGCAGTGTAGCGGATGACTATGGGTTCATTCATTTCTCATTCATTTAAAAAAAAAGGTCATAAACAAAAACAACATCAACACCAGGGCTGTGTCAGCCAATAAGAGTTGACCCCGTCCACTTTGTTCCGACACATCGCGTGGAACACGGCAGCAGAAACAGCAGAAAGAGCGACATGCATCACAGTTTAGCTGTCAAAGTTTTATCTCAACATGCAAACAATGGAAAGCCTGGAGTGTGTTTGTCATTTAGTTTCACATCGGCTGAGAAACGACCACGTTCTTCAAAACCATTAGAGTGTCAAGTCCTGGAGGTCAGGGAGATATGTACGGCGTTTTGGTCACATCTCTATGTTTTCTTTTTTTTTGTCTTTGTAATGGATTAGTGTTTTTTACATAGTCGATAAGATTGACTCATTCTGTAGAGATTATAATTCAGAGGAAAACGAAGGCAGTGATAGAGAAAAACAACAGGTTTGAGTCTAAAGGACTGTGTCACTGAACATGGAGCTTCAAAGAGGTTTTGAAAAAACTGGTCATTCCCAGGTTTGAATGAGAGAAGAAGAGTTAAAGGTTGGACGAGGCAGTGCAGCGACTCCGTCTGAACAGCGGACAGTACACCAATCAAAACACATTAACAAAAAACGTGACTTGAAAAGAATCAACAGGCTGTGCGAAGAGAAGACCACCTAACACTGGTGCTGAGCTGTTTTCATGAAGGTTAGATACTGTGTTGGAGGATGGAGCAGTTTTCAGGGCAGTACTTTTCTTCTTCACCGAGCGACGCAGCGTCACACATGCTGTGACCAGGAGACAACAGATATGAGACGTGAAGTAACAACAGTTTTCACAAACTCTGTTTTTTTCTGCTTTAACAATAGTCAGAACCAAGTGTGTCAACACGGTGGATCAGTTTGTGACACGGGTCCACTTCGTTTTTCTGTTTTTCTTAAAGTGTCTTCAGTGAAAGAAAAGGAGGAAAAAATGCAGCTCTGCAGCGCCACCAATGTCTTCATCTATTAAACGCACCACAGTAAAGAAGTCCATAACCATGTGGGCTGGTCCTGATGAACATGTACATTCACTGGTCTCATCTGTTCAACCATCTCCATGGTAACTGGAAAACAGGCTGACAGAGAAGAGCTTTAAATGAAACACAAAGGTTTCAAATTTGACCTGACACAAACACAACAGAGGCCCCAAACCACCGGGCTGTGGACCAGTACAGGACTCTGAGTCATCTGTTACCAGGCCACAAAGAAAAAAAACCATTTTCAATACCAGTCCTATTGTTTTATTTGACTTTTGTTCATCAGAATATATTTTCTTACATTAAAACTGGTTTGTGGACTGTGGACCAAAGTGGTTTGGAGACCTCTGGTTTGAACAAAAACAGATACAGTGATACACACACATTTTAACATGTGTTAAAACAAGTTCTACCAAGGAACAAAAATGTAAATGAAATGTCCTAAATGTATAATGAATACTTGGTGCATGACCTGTGACATCATAACTCTAATTATACCGATGATGTCACTAATCAAACACTGGACTGTAATCCCACAGTAACCAGAGTTTGAGTGAAAGACTTAAACAATGAATTGTGGAAAGATCTGTTGATTCTGTACATGAATTTCTTGTTTGCTTTTTTTTTTTCATAATAGGACTTAGACCGTTGAAGTCATTCCTACACAGTCACTGCATTTTTATCCTGCCTCAAACAGAATGTGATTCTTCTTTTCTCTGGTCACAGATGAAGTTTGAGGTTTCTCTGTGACGAGGCCAGACACATGTTTTCTTCTTCTTCTTCTGGAGATGTGATTTATATCTTGATGTTGATCACAATCAGAGACTTTTTTGTCAAGTGCT